ACAGGAGGGTCATAGAGGGAAAATGGATAAAGGAAGGGTTCATTAATAAACAGGACTGGAAAGAGGAGTTATCAATGTGAGAAAGACTAAAAATAAATTTTCTATTATACATCTCTTATAAAAGTTAATACTATATAAATGAAGATTTTAATGACAAAAGGAAAGCATATAAAGTTTTATCATATTGTAGTATTATTAAAAATAAGCACCCAGTTACTATTTGGTAAACTCAAATAAATTAAGAATACTCGTTCACCGAAGAATTCACTGAGAAAGTAAAAATCTATTAAAATTAGAAGACATTATTCTCACATATAATAAACACTAAAATGTTACATTCTTATAAATATATAAAAGAAGAAATAATAAATGATTCACTATGAAAATGGGCAAAATATTTGTTTAGATTTTCATCAAAGAGAAAATACATGGCTAATAGACATACAAAATGATATTCAACTTTACCAATGAATGCAAACCAAGACCAAAATCAAGCACTATTGTATGCTCATTTAAGTTGCAAAAATCAAGAAGTTTGATCATAACAAGTGTTGGAGAGAATACATATTTAGATTTTCACATATATATTGCTGGTGGTCATGTAATTAGTACAATTCTTTTTTTTCTTTTTAATTGAGTTTATTGGTACATTCTAGGTATACAGTACAGTTACATTCATCGTTAGGATCTTGTACCTTCACGTGACAGGTCTTGGTTCTAATTTTTTCCCCTTGTCCCTGCCCTCCCTTCACCCGTCCTCCCTTCCCCTTTACAAACACTTCATTTCCATTTTTTCATTTTGTCATATTTTTTCTTTTCCCTTATTAGCTTTCCCCTGCCCTTCCCACTTTCCCTATACATTTAGCCCTTTTCTTCCCATTTCACATTGTCCATTATATCATTAGGATCTTATGTGTTATTATAGTTTATTCACACCAGAGAAACTATTCGATATTTACACATATGTTAAAAAAGCAACATACTTCATATTTTAGCTATTTCAGTTCTCAGGACTGTATTATCAAGAAAATCTCCCAGGTATGCTAGGAAACATGAATAAAAATATTTATCTCCACATTATTTGTAATAGAAAAGCCCCCAAAACAATTAAAAAATGAATGGGCAGTGGAGAAATACATCAGAGTCTATTAGTATCATGAGATTTTAATATAATATTCAAAATGTATAAACTACTACACTACGAAAAAAGATGAACAAATCTTAATATAATTCTCAGTTAAAAATTCTATAAATAAAATTCTATAATTTATAGAGTTAAAATAATCAAACAGATACACTTTTTAAAGGAACGTGTGTAGACATTGCCAACTCGTCTTATAAAAGAGTAAAATGAGCATCAACACAATATCTAAATTAGTCTTTATCTCCAATGAGGAGAAGCAGAAACCAACACAGGCAGATGTGTTATTGCAGGGCTTTAGTTTGTGTGGGTTCGTGGCTGTTCGTTATGTTATCACAAATACATAGATAAATAAATGAACGAATGTATGAATCAGTGCAGGAATGAAGACAGCACGTGCTGTAGACTGGTAATAAAAGTTGCCTTGAATCAATACTCTACCACTGGTGTCCAAAGTTAGAAAAAAGTAAATGGAAAAGAGCGTACACGAAGCTTTTGTTTACTTGCTTTCTTCTCCTTCAAAATTAACCATGGTGGATTTGATTGAACAGGTTTCAAAACATGTATTAAAGCCAAAGTCATTAAACTAAGGTAATACTCAGCTACAAAGCAATGAGAAAGAGGAGCAAGGAAGATAAGGGAGAAGAAAGAAGCATTACCATCATTCATTCAACAGGCTACTTATTAAATTCTTATTAATTATAATTAATGCTTATTAATTAATCCTTTCTATCATGCAGCACAAATATATTGAATGTTTGTTAATGTTTGAGGCAGAAAACTTAAGTTTCCATGGAGCTTAGTGACAGTGTGAGGAGAGGGATGCTATATTGAATATATGCATAAAATCCTATTCTGCTTACTACGTACATGTGCATATATATAGTTGTATACATGTAAAAGTATTATTTGCCCGACTCTGTACATACAAGATGGCCTTTAAAGGTGTCCCGGTTCCAAAGTCTATAACCCGGGACTACATTAGGTAATAGGACAGGGGAAATGAAGCCTGCCAATGGAATTAAGGTAGTTAACCAGGACAGAGGTCGATCAACTGGCCTTATGTAAGGGAAAGCAATGTAATCATGAGGGTTCTCTAAATGTGGAAGAGGTGGCAGGAGAGTCCATGTTGACGCAAGCCCTGAGAAAGACTTGACCAGCATCAATTACTTAGAATATAAAAGGAGGCCACGAGCCCAGAATTTGAGATGGCCTGCAGAGGATGAAGGGGACAGGAAAACGGATTGTCCTCAGAATTTTTAAAAAGAAACAGCCTTGCCATCCAGCCAAGTTTGGCCTGCTGAGACCCATTTCGGACTTCTGAACCCTAGAATGGAAAGATAACCAGTTTATATCATGTTAAGCCATCAAGCACACGGAGGTGTGCAGACACATGACTGGAGGCATGTGTGTCTGGGGTGTTGGTGTCCGCTAGTGATAGAAGTGGTGATAAAGTCAAGCTGGTTGGAGTCATGGGTAGGGCTATTTTACATGGAATGGTCGGGGATGAGCTGATGCTTAAAGCGATGCAAGTGCGATCAGATCCCTTTAGCACACGACATCTGAAAGAACACTTTGGAAGAGCCACCAGCAAATCCAAAGTCCCCCCGCTCCCAGGCAGATATGAGCTTGGCATATCCGAGGAACAAAAAAGACCAACGTGACTGGAAGGAAGCGAGCCAGAAGGAAGACTGTGGGGGACCCAAGTTGTGGTTACATTTGGGGGTGCTCACCCTGGAAGGGAGTTAGGAATGACACCAGCGAAGGAGAACTTCTGTCTTTGCCCTCTTCATTACTTATGTTTTTGAGAAATAATGTGTTACTTTGGGCAGTTAAAAAATTATTATGATACAAGCGTATAAATAATTGGAAGAATAAAACTAGCAAGTGTAAAGGAGAACATAGCACACATTGAAAGGCTGTCTCTTCCATAGTTGATACAATACAAAACCGAGAAAAACGAGCTAGAAAGAATCAAAGTATGTTGTTACTTAAATGTATCCATTATCTATTTTCACTTTATGTTTGGTCCTGGTCCTGGTCCTGGTGGCTAAACCAAGGGCCTCTGCATTGAGATATATCTGCAGCCCCCTTTTTAAATTTTATAGACAGATGTTCACTAAGTCGCTAAATTGTCCAAGCTGGGCTGGAACTAGCAGTCCTTCTGCCTCAGCATCTCAAGAGTGCTGGGATTACAGAAATGTGCTATCTCCCCCAGCTCTGTTTCCACTTTTATACATTTCTACCACTGAGTCAATAACAACATGTCTTTTTGCATATGTGCATGCCCATAAACAAGTCTTAAATACCATGGAGATTTGTTCCAAAGGTGAATTTTTACATGCATGGAATAAGGGACAAGAGTAAATAGTCTACACTCAAATCCTTGGTTCTCATACTACCTTAGGGCTGCTAATGTTATGAAAATCCAGGTACTTTAGCAATGTGGAATGGAGTTTGGAATCAGACTGTTTCAGTTCAGTCCTTGCTCTGGTCCTTACCAGCTTTGAGACTAGGGACAGTCATTTACCCTGTGCGTACCTAAGTTTTTTTCATCTGTAACAGGGACATAATCCCATCTGGCTGGTAGAATTTTGACAAAGTTTAATTTCATTAATAGAAATGACACACAAGACCAAAGTTTGGCAGCTAAGTCCTTAAGAAGTCTGAGCTGCTATTGTTATCCTTGTGCTCCTTTTCTTTTGGGGGCCGCAAGTAATGTGTTACACACACTGCTTGCTGAAACACAATCCCTACCATCTCCTCCAAGTATGCTAGAAGAGGTCACTTGAAAGTCATATTTTCTCCGGTCAATTTGCTATGCATGTACAAGTGAAATCGCTGTGGTAGCCAGCACTTAGCCCTGGAAAAAGAATGTGATTAAGTTGCACGACCCCGAATCTTTTCCTGTGACTGTCATTCTGCTTAAACGCTATTCAAATATTTCATCAGGAAAGACTACCAGGAGCTTCCAAAAACAAACAGACGTCGTGTTCCCCAAACAAAGTTAATAAGGACTTTATATGGCATAACTCCAACTAAGTACAACATCTGCAGTCTTTATTCAGCTAACTGAGAACCCAACATCAACCAAGTGAAAAATGTAAAAAGTAACAGGTATCGGTGACCGATTTCTCCATTTCCTTGAGACTTCGTGGAATTTAAAGGCACTGCCCTAGATTTAAAAGTTTCAATTTACAAGATAGGCCACTTCAGGTGAATCTCTTAACTTCCCTGAGTCTTGGTTTCTTCATTCTACACTATGCTTACCAAATACTTTTTTCCATTTAGAAAAATGCCAATGTAATTTAAAGCCCCCTATAGCAAAGGCAGGATTATTTTTACCAACTTGTAAATGGGAAAGTTAAATGGCTTTCCTAAGTGATCAACAAGGACTTTAGGCCATGCCTTTTGATTTTTGCAGCTTTCTTTATATATTACTTAAATTCTCACCGAGAAAAGAATAAATAGGTCAACATTGCAAAATGATTCACAAGATATTAATCTTCTAGACTTGGAGACTTCTTCTAAGAATAGTTTGTGTACTATGTACTACAACAAAAGTATCCTTTTATCTTAATCACATTTCCATCAAGAACCAAAGAAATCAAAGTATTTCTAATTTTTCAGTATTAATGAACATCATCAGTCAAGCCATCAGGAAAACCATTAAAGACAGACGTTAATTAGACATAATGATATTTAAATCAAGACGTGGATCATTTTGCTAATATTTAAATGTATGCTTCAATTGAAAGTTCTGATTTGCAGTATGTTCTTTTTAACAAATGACTGCTTTTTCTGTCAATAAAAAATCCCATTCACTTGTTTTACTTTGGGAACATGATGATCACCCCACCTTGAGGTGATCACAGCATCTAGCTTTCTTTTTCTCTGAAGGGTGTGGCTCTGTTGTTTTATTCAAGCGCTGATATTCATCCATGATTGAAGTATAGGTATAATATTCTCAGTTGTTTCGGATGGTTGGTTTGAATTGTTCACCTACGAAAGCAGAAAAAAACATAACTTATTTCACTTTAACAACATGCAATTTAGTAATAAGAAAAGCTCTAAGGTCAATATCAACGAAGCAGTCGATCACTAATATTTTATCTTTGCCTTCTGTGTCTCCACCACTGCACTAGATAAATGCTGGACGTAAAACAGACAACCACACATTGTTCTAGTGTTGGGGAGATGATAATTTAATAAAGGCTGCATGTATGGAAATGAGAAGCAAGTTGGATGATATAGGATCATACTCTACATGAACACAGACTTTAAATTGCAGAAATTAAGATTTTATATTTTCTACACCTCTAAATTACAGGATTTGTAGAAGCCAGTGGATGCTTTATTTATCTTTATAGCTTTTCAAAGCATCCACCAGTGGCTTGCACAAAATAAATATTGAAAATGAAGAGAAAATATCATGAAATGAATGCAACGAAGATGCCATAAGATGGTTTCATAAAGGAGAAAGCTCTAGAACCAGACCACGATGTAGGACAGAATTCAGAGATGCTTGAGAGCACAAAGTGTACTCCAAGTAACTCTTAGACAGACTGGCCATGCTTGACTTTCCACCGTTCTGACCTTGCTTTAATTTTGTTCATTTTTTTAAAAGAAAATATACGCATGCAGGCGAAAAGGCAAAAGATTAAAAAAAAAAACTAAAGGTTCTTCAGCTTGTCTGTTCACATTCAGAAATATAATATGCATTAGAAATTTTTTCTTTGGGATACAAATTATGTCATATTGTTAACTCTGTCCTGTAACTTATTAACCTGCTGAACATACACAACTTTACATTAATAAAAGGCCACTTTATTTTCCTTACTGTGGTGAGGTATTACTTTGTCTATAATATATATATAGCTAGAACTATGTTAATGAGAAATCCTGTAAGAGAAATTATAATTTGAGAGATATTAAGCCCCTAGTCTAAAGATTAGTAAAATGATTTAACGTCTTCTTTTAACTCATTCTTTTATAGATAATGTGTTTTTTGCTGAGGTTTAGAAAACATATTCATATTCATATATATGTGTGCAATATATATTTATATATTTTAAAAAATCTACATAGAAGCACAAATATATAATTTAGTGACATTGTAACTATATGTTTAATGTGTTACATGTACAGTTACTCCTCACTATTTGAGGTAGTTACATTCTATAGTTTCTGAATTAGCAAACACTGAACCATTGTTCCAAAGGAAAACCCAGGTTTAAATTCCTGATCTTTGGTCGTGACATTTCCATCCATTTATTAATACATAACCTGCTATGCATATTTCTATTTAAAAACACTTTGCTTAATACATGCTGTTCAAGCCTGGCATGGTGGCGCACATCTGTAATCCCAGCACTCGGGAGGCTGAGGCAGGAGGATCGCTGTGAGTTCGAGACCAGCCTGAGCTACACAGTGAGTTCCAGGTCAGTCTCAACTACATAGTGAGACCCTGTCTCAA